GGAAGGAAGGAAGGAAGGAAGGAAGGAAGGAAGGAAGGAAGGAAGGAAGGAAGGAAGACAGGAAGAAAGACAGGAAGAAAGCAAGAAGGAGGAAGGAAGAAAGACAGGAAGAAAGAAAGAAGGAGGAAGGAAGACAGGAAGAAAGAAAGAAGGAGGAAGGAAGGAAGGGAAGAGGCAACACTGGCTATGCTGCCTGCCTGCTACCCCAGTGTCTAGAAGCGATAAGGACCTGTGGTGAGAAGATCCAGACTTTGGAGAAGTGACTGGTGAATGGCATGACCATGCTTGCCATGTGGGCCACCATGTTGCTGCTCCCTACGGCCAAGCACCTGAAAACACCAGGAGAGTTAGTACAAGGAGACTACAGGGAGCGAGCAAAGCAAAGGGTACAGGGTGGTGGTGGGGTGGGGAGAGGGGAGATTGGACCCACACTCAAGTAAGCCATGGATGGCTTCTACCTTCATTGTATGAAACAGCTGTGTATATGCGCATGCACATTAGAAAGGCATAAGCTGACTGCAGTCTACTGTTTAAATGAAACTCATGTGTTTACAGAGCCAGCTTAATACCAATATCAGGCAGATTTGTTTAGGGTAGAGTATGGGGATTTGGGAGAACAAAATATTTGTCTATGGGCTGTTCTAAGCAATATCTTTAAGACTTACTTTAACTTTTTGTTTTGGATTATGTGTGTGAGTGTGCACACACGTGCCACACGTGTGCAGGTGCTGGATCCCCTGGAACTGGAGTTATAGCCTACGGTTGTAAGGCTGATGCACGGGTCCGCACCACAGAGTCAAGGACTTGACTCAGGACACAACTCAAGGGAGGAATGTAAAGGCTAAAGTTAACACGGAAGCCCCACGTGCTCAAGGACGGATAACTTCCTGGAATGCTGGGGGCTGTTGTTCATATAAAGTAACAAGTCACAAGCCTTCACTTCAGTAAACAAGTTTGCTGGCCCCAACTGCACAGGACCCTTGATTACATGTAGGTAAATGTACACAGGCAGGAAATATGTCAGGATGTAAGCTTGCCCCCACATCCCACCCCCCACCTTCCATGAATGACAGAGGGGAATTACCTTAGCCTTGTGGGTTCTGCCTCTATGAGCACTGAATGGTGCTTTATGGCTGACTGAATTCAGTGCCATTCTCTGGGAATCCCAGGAACGGACATGGCCACTGTCCATCTTCCTGGCCAGGATTAAATGAATCTTGCTTTAATTGGACAACCACGGATTTGGTCTTTCTCCTTGAAATTTTCAGGTTTAATACAGTAAGTCACCTGATGTGAGTTCTGCTTAGTACTACAGGTCAAATCCAGGCTCTCAGACATGCTAGCAGCTGTGTTTGAACGTGGAATGTCCCCCATAGGTTGATATCTTCTGGTCCCCAGCTGGTAGCACTGTTTGTCAAGGTTCTGGAGCCCTAAAGAGGTAGAGCCTCCCTGGAGAAAATATGTCACTGGGGCAGGCTTTGAGGTTTTATAGCCTCCCCACCACACACACACACACACACACACACACACACACACACTTCCTTTTGCTCTCTCTTAAGCATTGCTGGTGTAAGAGGGTAGGCCAACTTCATGCTCCCTCTTCCAACCCTTCATCACCAAGATGGGCTGCACCCCACCCCCACAAACTATAAACCAAAACAAGTCCTTTCTATTTTAAAATTTACTTTGTTGGGAGATTTTATCATAGCCACAGAAATGAAACTAATACAGAAACTGGAACCATGCAGCGGGTTGAGACTGTTAAGGACTGCAAGGGGCCTTTCAAGTTGGGCTAAACACTTTTTACATCATGAGATGGCCATGAGCTTTTTGGGATGCTGTAGTTTCCTTAGGAGATGTCTCCTATAGGCTCATGTGTTTGAACACTTGATCTCCAGCTATGGCACTGTTTGGGAAGGGATGGAATCTCTGGGAGATGGATCCTTGCTAGAGGAAGCACATCACTGTGGGCAAGCTTTGAACAGATGCTCTGTCACTGAGTCACAGCACCAGCCCGACCAAGACAGTGTTTAATGTGCATCTTCTGAGTCATGGATACTCCTGGGCATGGCTGTTCATGTTTGTAATCCCAACATTTGGTGAGGAACCTGAGGCAGAAGGATTGCTACAAGTTCAAGCCCACCACAGGCTACAGTGTGAAACTCTGTCTTAAAAGGTCAACAAAAAGTCAATGGTACTTTATCTATTCTAGGTCGTACACATTTGTAACTCAGCTATTAAAGCTTGGTGCTCGTCTGAGTAAGAATAGACACATCGACAGATCTTAGGATGTTCGGGAAGCCTACAGACTCTGTTAAAGATGCCTTGTATTAAATGTTCATATGCTGGGTTCTTCTCTCCCTTCTTCCCCCTTTTTCTCTCTTCTCCCCTTCCTCCTCCCATCCTGCATTTCCTTCCTTCCTTCTTTCCTTTCCTTTCTTCTTTCCTGCCTGGCTTACTTTTGAGGACATGTACCTTGGCTACAAACCAACCAACTAAATAAAAAATGGTCTTAAAAAATTCTATCATATCATATATATATGTATATATATATATACATATATATATATGTATAAATATATATATATGCAATATCAACCAACATGGCTTGGTTGGATAGCCCTCTTTTTGCATATAATATGCATTCTCTCAGCAGATACATATGCTGTGAATAGATTTAGAACTAGGGGAGCCCACAGTTCCCTTCACCCCCTCCCCGGACTGGGTAGAAATCCACTCAAGTGCTCAGAAGCACCCAGAGGCCACAGCAAACAATGTGCCCCATTTTACAGAGCACTCTCTTCTCTGCAGCACCATCAGAGTACCAGCCTGAGTTGACAAGTAAATGACCTCCCTCTGTGTTGTGTTACACAGTGTCCCCAACATCACCTTCCACGATCTGCATTCCAACCTGTCAACTGCTGAGCACTGTCCTGGTGTGATCCAAAAAGACTCCCAGAAACCCCTGCCCTGAACGCATTTCCCACTCTATTCCTGGAGTTCTGGGCAAGCAGCCCATCCTACACCGATGCCCAGATTTGTTTCCATGAGTGTTCTTGCACATTTCCCCTGAAAGGGAAAAAGGGTCCAGAAATGGAGATCTGAGTTCTTTGAATCTAATCTCATTTGGGTCTCAGCTCCACAGTCTTTAGACTGGAGACCATGACAACACCAATCTCAACAGAATCATTTTGAGGAGTGAGGAAGGCATGCTTATTAGATATCTCTCTCTCTCTCTCTCTCTCTCTCTCTCTCTCTCTCTCTCTCTCT